AAACCACAGCATAAGATGACTAATAAAACTAATATTTTATTGCTGGTTTGTTTGATTTTATTTAGTCTTGGAAATGAAACGCTGTGTACAGCACAACGCTGTGAATTTACTGCCAGCCTGAATATCTAATGCAAAGTGGTAATCGAAAATAGTTCATTAAAATTCTAACTTCCAGCCAAGCTACTCTTTGTAAAATGCTTGTGTGGCGTCATCACAATCGTGCCTTTATGTCTTTGCCGGGCAATCCCCCCCCCCCAAAGCGCGATCTTGGGTGGTTAATAGCTTTAGAGGTGGTCTTCAGATTTGCTATAACAAGGAAGCGGCATTACAGACGTATCATGAGAACAGTGTTAAGTGACCCCACATTCAACTTAATTAATGCTCTAGACTGCCGGTTCATTTATTTATGAATAATTAAGAGGAACATTGCACGGTTCTCTTTCATTTGTAAAAGTCAGGATTGACAATAAAAAATAAATTTTAACTCATATATATATTCATATAACTACATTATCTGTATTTACATTGCATATAAGACTTGAATGGCTAACTAGTCATCTGGGCTCTATTACATTAAGCCTATTTTATAATGCACCATTTTAGTACAACAAATTCCTGAAGATGGTACTCCAACTTCGCTTTCTTAGTGTTCGCGCAGAATCGTTCTTTCTTTCTGCTTGCATGCCTCCCTGCATAGCTAAACCCCTAGAGGGGGGGATAGCCGAAATTTATTGTTACAAATTTTATAAACTGGTTACTTTTCTTTTTGTTATAAACACCTATACCGGTGTTTATCTGGTCAAACTATCTCAATGATTCTGTTTACACCTTTAATGCAGCGCTTCATAAATTATTTATTATTTTGAATTCCTATGACCGACGTGGAGAGTACAGCTACAAGAAGAAACACTGACACAAGATCAGGTTCGACGTGGAGAGTACAGCTACAAGAAGAAACACTGACACAAGATCAGGTTCGACGTGGAGAGTACAGCTACAAGAAGAAACACTGACACAAGATCAGGTTCGACGTGGAGAGTACAGCTACAAG